CAAGTAGTAGCAGGAGTAGTAGTAGTAGTAGTAGTAGTAGTAGTAGTAGTAGTAGTAGTCGTAGTAGTCGTAGTAGTCGTAGTCGTCGTACCAATGGTACTAGTAACACTAGTCAGGATGGGAGGGCCCGCAGTCCGCATGGACGTCCGCGCGTGATGCGCGCCGCGTCCCATTCCTGCCACATATTTCGCACCGTCAGCGACAAGGGAGGCCATGCTGAGAGGAAAAACAAACTTCGTATTGTTTTTTTACAGTCAGGGTGGGCGGGCCCAGATTGACTGCCGCGCGCGATGTGCGCCGCGTCCTATTCCCGCCACACTTTTCGCATCGTCGACGACAAGAAAGACGATGTTGAGAAGAAAAAAGGCCACTTTGTATTGATTTTTTACCGTCCGGATGGGAGGTCCCGGATTGGGCCTCTATCGGCCGGAATACGAGGTAGGTGGGGGTATATAATAATAAGGAACAAGGATGATGGGGGAGGGGGGAGGGGGGAGGGGGAGGGGGGAGGGGACAAGCTAGGTGCGCTCGCGTCATATCTGACATCCTACCCCTCCCCCCATTCCTTACCATGGCGCAGATCCCCTCTCTACTCGCCCAGTCGGATGTCGAGCAGGGCAATGATCCCGAAATGGCACAGGGTGCATTGTAGAGCACGGCGTGGCATGGCGTAGAAGAGCATCGCAAAGCGTAGTAGCAACTTAGCATTGCATTGCATGCCGTGGCATGGCACGGGAAATGACGCCAGCGCTGCAGCGGGAGCACGAGTCGAAACGAACGGAAGCGCGGAAATGAGGCCAGCGTTGCAGCGGGAGCACGACTCGGAACGAGCGGAAGCACGGAAATGAGGCCAGCGCTGCAGCGGGAATACGATTCGGAACGAGCGGGGCCCGAAAATGAGGCCGGCGCCTCAGCGAGAGCAGCATTTTGAAACAAAATGCAGGCGGAAACCCAATTCCGGGGAAACCTGTTGTGTAAAAAAACACACCGCGGGGGGGGGGGTCGGACACTCCCAGGCCGTCATCAGGGGAAGAGGGAGAGTAGTATTCATATTGAGTAGTTGTTGAGGAGGGGAGAGGGGGGGAGGGAGGGGGGAGGAGGGAGGAGGGAGGAGGGGTGAGGGGGTGAGGGGGAATGGAGGAGGGGAGAGGGGGGGGGGCGGGGATTCAGGAGGAACAAAAAACACACAGACACAATTCATCGTCGATCCCCCAGAAAAAATAGGAAAATATGGGAGTTGGGGGGGAAGACAGAAACCCAGAACATATGGGAACATATGGGAGACCCTTTTATTGGTGTGCATTTAATTGTGTGTCCCAGGGCCCCTTCAGGGATGGGGGGCATGGCGGTCGCCAGGAAATTCGATGTCTGTTCATGGGAGCCTTGGGCGGCGACACTGAAATCAGATTTTCCTGCATATGGACTGCATTTTCCACGTCGACCATGATGACGACGACGAAACCGACGACGACGACGCTCCGACGCGGATTCCGAAGCCGACGCCGACGACGAGGACGATGACGACGCGTTCGACGGCGACGACAACAACAACGACAATGACGACGACGACGCCGATGACGATGACGATGACGACGCGACGCCGACGACGCCGACGACGACGCCGACGACGACGTCGACGCCGACAATGCACAACGCACGACGCACGACGCCGACGATGCCGTCGCCACTGCCGACGCCGACAACGATAACGACCTCGACGACGCTGACGACGACAACGCCGGCTTCGACCATGACGACAACGACGACGACGACGACGACGAAGCCGCCGACGACGACGACGACGCCGACGTCGACGACGACAACGGCGACGACAACGACGACAACGACGACGACGTTGACACAACGCACGACGCTCGACGCCTACGACGACGCCGCCGACGACGACGACTTCGACGACGACGACGACCACCACACACGACGCACGACGCAGGCAGTTGAAATGTTGACATTTGGACGGTCCGTAGCTCTTTTGGGCCCATCGTGTTGTTTAGATACTTGTGGAACTCCCGTGCAGCAGCTACAGCTCCTGTCCGTCATGGCTTTCCGACTCGGCGGAGGCCCTGGCTACGCCTACGGCACTGGTCGCGCGCTCGGCGTCGGCGGTGCTTACGGCGCCAGCGGTGTGTACGGCGCCGGCGGGGCGTACGGCGCCGGCGGTGCACTCGGCGGCGGCGGCGCGGACTGCGGCACGGCGACCTGCGCCAGCGTCACGGCCTGCATGGGCTGCGGCCCTGGCTGCGGCGTGGCCTGCGCCGAGGGCTCAGGCCTCGAGTCACCAAAACGCTGCATGAGCCGACACTTCCGGAGCTCCGCGCGGATTTCTTGAATCGGCGCTGGGCAACCCTTGGCTGGCGTCCAGCGCTGCCCCTGGTGCGCTCCGCGCGCCAGGGAGGGGGTCCAGCGCCGATCCACGAGATCCGCGTGGAGTTCCAAAAGTTGGTTCCTCTGAGGCTGCGGCACGGGTGGCGCCACGACCATAAGCTACGTGGGCCCGGGGGGCGACTACGCCCAGGAGACCACCTACAGGTACGTCGGCATGGGCGCGGGCGAGTTCGGGGCGGTCCGCATCCCCGGGCGCGGCCCCAACATGTGCCTGATCTGCCTCGTCCCCCTGGGGCTGTCGCTCCTCGCGCTGCCATTCCTGATGTTTGCGATGGCGCCCGGCTCGACCACCACGACAACGACGACGACGGTGACGATGCCCCCCGCGCCGGTGCTTGACCGGCCGACTCCCCCGCCTGACGCGCCGACTACGACCACCGAGAAGACCACCACCACGGCGGCGCCGCCCCCGCCGCCCCCGCCTCCGCCGCCCCCGCCCCCGCCTCCCCCGCCCCCGCCCCCCCCGCCCACCACCACGGAGAAGAAGATCAACTGCGGCGAGGGCGATGTCGTGTCCTGGGACGTGCCCAAGAAGGTCTACTGCTGCCTGCACGAGGGCAAGGGATGCCCGACGACACCGACTGCTCCCAGCACTATGCCGGCGCCGGTGCCGGTCCCTGTCCCCGTCACGGTCGCGCCAGTGGTCACCACGGCAAGGAGCACCACGTCCCCGTGCCCGATAGACTGCAACGCTGGATACAACGACCTCGACCCGCTGCAGTGGGTCCGCGGCTGGTCCGGCGAGAAGAAGCTCTACTGCTGCAAGACCGCGAACAGGGGCTGTCCCTCGGAGCTGCCCCCGCCCTCCGGCCTCCCGCAGGGCGACGCCCCCCCCGAGAAGGACAACAGCGAGTACGACTGCGACGCGGGCTACCACCACTGCATGCACTGCCTGGAGCTGTCCTGGTCGCCGCAGAAGATCGACTACTGCTGCAAGAAGGAGCACAAGGGCTGCAAGGGCGAGGAGCCCGAGTGAGCTCCCCCCCGCCCCGCCCGCTGCAATTGCCAGCCTGGAACGTGTCCATACCCGCTGTCCCTAGGATTCGCGTCGCCTCATCTCGATGCCGATCTCAAGACTTCCCTCAGTTTCTGAGGGCGCATCCCTGAACACTGTGATCGCCTTCTGCATGGTCATTCTCAGGGATAAGGATAAGTTCGAAGCCGGCTATGCGAGGCCGTCCGCGCGAGGGGCGCGGCGCTTCGCGGCGAGTCGCGAGCGGCTGTCCGCGCCCCCTGCTCTGCAGGGGGAGGCTGGGCGCTTTCCTGGCCTGAGGGTCGACTGCCGAGGGTGTCGGGAGCGGGGGAGGGACGCGCCCGTGATCGCATAGAACCCGCGCTGGCTTCGAAAGTCTGCACTGCGCGAACGCTCGTATCACGAGGCTGGTCTCGCGGACTGGGGGGGGGGGGCTGTATTCGTGCACGTGCCTGGGCGCGCACGTCCTCTGTGGGCTCCCTGGGGTGGGGAGGGGTCGGAGCTCGGCGGCGCCATCGGCGCTGCCCCTGGCGCGCGGTGCGCGCCAGGAAAGGGTGCCCGGCCTCGATCCCAGGAGTCCGCGCGGACCTCCGAGCAGGTATGCTGTGTATACCTTAGGCGATGCTTAAGAAAACCTAAGTTTTCGGCCAGAGTCTCGATTATTCTTAACGTTTCAATGTAAATCTTAAGATTTTAACAGAAAGGTTGGGTTTTTATTTAAGTTCTGAGACTATGAATTTCTTAACCCATGATTTCTTAAGCATTTCGCAGGGTGTATCATTGCTTGTTCCCCGAGAGGCGTCCATGCGAGCGGACACCCCATTCGGGAGAGCTGGCCCAAGGGCGCTCCACGGTGTACCCACAGCTGCAGTCGAAGCCGCAGCCAGAGTGCACAGGACAGAGGTAAGGGCCCACCTTGGATGTCTGGTTGGCAACACATCCTTGCACGGTGCTGAGGCCCCCCCTGAGCACAGGCCCCCCCCAAGAGCATCAGCCGGACTCTGGACCATCTTGGGGCATCTTGACCGTCCTCGGGGAAGCAACGCGCACGGAAGCGAGGCACGGCCCCGGGGAATGGGCGCCCGAGCGATGGGCAAGGTTTCGTTGCTCCAGGGGAGGAGGGAGAGCGGTGAACGGCTGGGGGATAGGGTGGCTGCTGGAAGCGCCCGGTCCGCTTGCTTTTCTTAGTTCGTCCATCTGGGCAGTGGCAGAGCGACGCCCTCGCGGGGGCCCGTCGGGCGGGAGGCAAAGCTACCCCGGCCCGCCCGGTCTCTCCAGCGGGGCGCCGCGGCATCTTCCACGCGGGCCCCACTCCTCTGCCCTCCTCCCCCTCCCCCTCCCCTGCTCCATCGCCCCTGCGCGGGATGTCCTGCCCCGGGACGTATGCGGGTAGGCAGCCAAGACGCTGAAGTAAGGAACAGCTTGGGTTCGGAAGGGGCTCGATGCTATGTCGGTTCTTCCACGGCTGTTTCTCTGGCGCTCCTCGTCGACGCAGGCGCCTTGCGTGCCAAATAAAGGGGGGTCTGTTCGTTCAGCGTTCCTCATTTCAGCAGCCCGGCTGTAGTCTGGCCCGGCATGTGCGGGCTTGTGCTTGGCGTGTGGCCCGGCATGTGCCTGGCATGTGCGGCAAACCGAAGCACGACTCGCGAACATGAGCGCACCAGAAGGGAACGCACCAGAAATGAGCTCCGTGTACCTGCTGCCCTCTCCCCGTCCCCCCCCCCGCGGTTGCACAGCCCAGTCGGCTTTCGGAGACGCGGCCTTGCCTCTGCATCTGTGAGCTGCTGCAGGCGTGCTCGTGTCCCTTTCTTCCCCGAGTCGCCCGCCACTCGTCGGCGGCCGCGAGGAGGCGATCGTTTGGCACCAGTGTCAACCAAAAAGCATGGCAGAGTGGGCGAGGATCACCTGTGAGAGGCAATGAGGGCGATATGCTGGTGATGGTGCGCCGTTTGGTCTACAATTCCTTGGCGCTCGGACTACCCCCACCAGCTTGTCCCAAGACAATCGCTAGTCGCGTTTCTCTGACCGGAGACGCGCAGCAGCACGCAGTTGCGCTCTCGTGGGGCCAGCGCGGGGCCCTTGTTTGGGCCCTCGTGCGTCCCCGATCGCGGGTGCTGGTGGAGGCCTTTTGGGGCTATGGGTTATCTGGGGGCCATTCGGCACCATCTTGGAGGCATTTTGGGCCCTCGTGGGGCCCTCTTTGGGATCATGTGTTAAGACAGGGGGCGGCGCTTACCTCAGCCCCCCCGTCGGGCCCCCCCGCCAGAATCGCCTCTTGGGATACTCTTGGGGCGCTCTTGGGACTGGTTTGGGCCCCAATTGGGGCCATCGTGGAGCCCTCTTGGGGCCTTAAAGTAGGTTTAAGAAGAGGCTCTATAGCGAAGCTATATGCGACGCTGTCTTGGCTCAAGGCAGCGCTGTCCTGTGTGCCAGTGGCACAACGGTGTGACTCGATCCGCGGATCGCCGCAACGGACAAAAACCACGTCCTGCTTTGATCCTTCTCCCGATCCCACGGCTTCTCCCTTACTTATCGATTCGCGTGCCATCGAATTATGAGTTGTGGGATACTGCGGTACGTCGCCCAAGCCCTGTACCCTTACTTTTCACGTGGTAGCGGAGCTGGATACATCTTCGTGTGGCTGGCTCTTCTCTCGGGTGTCATGTACATAAAAACTTACCACGGCACAGTGGAATACCCGACTGCGCTGACTTCACCCACGACACTCCCGATATTATCGAAGCAATTGGTAACCTACGGTTCTGTAGCTCCATCTCCCCGCCGCGTGGCCACACGACACGCACTACCCAAATACCGCTATTTATCCGCAAGATGGCGGCCACGTCGAACCAGACACCCAGTCGCCACGCTACGGAAACGACAGTAGCCAATTATACGCAACCGAACATCATCAGGGACATCATGATCATGCACTATGCGAAGTCCGCGGACTTTGGAACTATCTTGGCGTGCCTAGGCCTTGCCGTGGCAGACCTGCGAGGAGGAGCAGTGGACGAAACAGGTAACGCACCCTTCCGCGACTTCGTTCGCGAAGTACACGCATGGCTTAACACCGCGAGCGGAAGTGTAATACCACCCCAACAGGCAGCTGCTTTACAGCGTGTCCTATTGGCGAGGACACAAGCCATGCGAGTGCCGTCCATCATCATCAATTACGGTGCCACACTTCAGGGGAAACGCACCAATGGAGCCACATACATCATGTATCTACTAAACACCAAAGTTGAAACCCTTGAGGACGACTGACAGCTTACATCAGGGACAACCCTCATCGGCTTCTGAGTCGACAGAGGTGAGCGCATCGACTCAGTAGCGTCCCGGTTCGAGGTGGCCAGACTGGAAGCAGAGTCAGCAGGGCTCAACGCACCCAACTTCCAGATCTTTACCCTGATCTTATTTCGTGTCCTGGGGGGTGGTATTTCCCGACCAGCCCAACTACCGCAACCGCTGAAAGACCCGATGCCCCGTACTCAACAACAGTGCGACCATCTCCTGGAGCGAATGCGCAGCCATGGACACTTGGCTGAGCGGCCCCCACGGCGAATCGGGAGCATGTTCAGCGGACGCAGCCCTGGCACTTACCACGCCGAAATAAGCGACACACCGGCAGCCATGCCGAACAGCATCCGGAATGACGGAGAGCCCACTGAGTCCACGACGCTCCAAGGCCAGGACGCCCATAACAGCAACGAACAGCCGTCTGGCTTAAACATGGGCTGACCGTCAGCGGCCAAGTACACACCACCTGGCGCGACTACCCTCTGGGGCCCACCCAGCCAACAAGATGGCGACGCATTCGCTTCCAGCACGGATGCCGATGCGGTCTCCTCTACTGGCGCCGAAATTTTTGACTGGTCAGGCTTGGCTGCCGGCGATGGCGCAGCTACACAATGCTTCTACCCAGGGCGCCACAAGAATGTGGAGGCGAAACATGAACAACCAATTAGAAGGCCCAGGCGAGCTGCACGTCGCGGCTTCTTCCGCAAAGGAAAAGGTCGCGGCAGAGGTGGCAGGCGTGCCCGCATATTGCACTGCAAAGGCATGATCATGTTGTTGACTCGATTGACCGACAACGTCTTTGAAGAGGAGGTAAAGGTAGAGGCAGGCATACAACAGGCAAGGGCTTAATCCATTGGGCAAGGATTGAACAGGAATGACATGCGACACCTGCGAGATCGACAAACACTTCCAAGCGCGATGTTCGAAGGGAGGTTGGAAAATGGGACGGGTCCGCACTGTTTTTTGATCAGAGCAATCTGGGGCGGATATTACTGAGTGCGTTGATTTCCCCGAAATCGACCATCCACTTGACCCTCAAACCAGCTCTGCATGGTATTCGATGGCCCACTTTGCCAACGCTGCCACGTCGGTAGAGCGCTATGCCGGCCGCGACGGGACCGATGAGCCCTACGACACACTCGTCGAGGACTGGGTCGACGCGCGCCGGCGCGGACATGCGCGGGGAGGCTCCGACGACAGCGAAGACGATTGCGACTGCATGTCCGACGCGGAGACCACGCCTGCCACCCGCTCCCAGCCACAACGGCGTTCGGACTCACGGAGGAGGAGCGGGCTGCAGTTCGATGGGGACAGACACGCGCCAACCCGTTTATGCTGTGGGGCAAGTCTGGGATAGCCCCCGCGCAGCAGGCGCGCCAGGTAAAGCTTGAGAATGCAGCCCGGACTCGGGCGGTCTTGGCCGCTGCCGCAGCCTTCCTCGCGGCGTCGGCCCCTCTGAGGATTCAGGCTGCGCTCAGTTAGCGGGGCCCCCTTTGTGGCGCGAGTTCCAGTGATGTTCATGGAACGCCGTTGGCGGGCCAATTGGTCCAAAACCAAGTGACGCGGGACATGGCGGATGACTTCTTTCGCTTGCAGGCGCTGCGCGTCCCTGGCCCAGGGGCGCGTCCGCACGTGGGTCAGCGCCGCCCGCCTACAGACCTAGACGCGATAGCGCAGCCATCGACGCTTGAAGCCCGCCCACTTGCAAAAACTGCGCCGGCATACTTGCACGACGCCCATGCGATGATGCAAGCAATCATGCAAGCAACGGAAGAGGCCCGAAGGGCCACGCGCGACCGAAACACAAGGCGGACGCAACACATCGGTCAAAGCAACGCCGAGCGCGGACACGCTCACGAGGTCTACTCCAAGGTCCAGGGAAGGACCGCCGCCGTCTCCATTCGAGGCGGATGAGTCTACGCTGCAGCGGCAAGGGTAGACGCGCCCGCACTCAGACGCACCTGCGGTGTCGGATATGTCCTTCACGCAGTGCGCCGCGTGACTAAAGTCCTTCATGATTCGTGAAACGATGTGGGGGGCTGCAACGCGGTCGCCAATGCTGCGCGGAATGCTGGGGCCGGAACGCCCGGGTTCACGCGTCAAGAGCAAAGGCAGGGGCCGATGCGAAGGCCCCGCGTGCTATCTGCAGAGGCCCGGGCATCACCGTGGCGGAATATCAATTTGCGGGGCAGGTCGCCACATCGAGCTGAGCCGCCGCGGCCGCCCAGCAGGCTCAAGTGGTATCCTACTGGCGCGGGGGGCTTGCTGAAGTTTTAGCGACGACCCCCCCGACGAGCTCGGCCGCGAGCTATATGTTGCCGGCGACGCCCCCGGCAGTGGCAACTGCGATCCCGCTCTTATGCGACGCGGGGGCACCTGCAGTCAACGCCCCGTCGACGCAGGGCGCGGGGGCACCTGCGGCCCACGCGGCGCCGCGTCATTTCAACAATCCACTGCTCGACCGCCTAGAATAACAACAGCAACAGGCGTGTCCGAGACGTTGCCGCAGCCCTCGCTCGGGCACGAGCAGACGGTTTAACTCCCCATCGAACGAAGCGGTTTGCAACAGGCAGTTGTTGCAGAAAGGGGCGATTCATGAACACTCCACAGCATCCATGCTGCTGGACAACGAGGTCTTCACCACGGGTGCAGGAACGAACGCAGTGCCCGAACTGGTCAACACCAAAAGGCACGCTGACTGGGCAGTTGAACGCGAGGCTGCCGCGGCGGAAGAAGTGAGCGCCCACGTGGGCAAGCGGGGCCCTTTGATTCCAACCTGACGAGGAAGCAGTTCATCGTCCACCCGAGGAAGACTCAGAAGGCAGATGCGCGCGGAAAACATGCAATTTCGATTCCAACCGGCATCCAGCGCGTGCATTCAGCAGGTAGACTCAATATTTTGATGGCTGGCAAATTAAGTATGCTAGTGGACATTGGTTCGGTTATCATTAGCACATGTATCAACGCAGCACGAGAGTTCGACGACCCATCCCGCCAGCATGGACACATGCCGAAGGCCATGAACCTGGAAAGGCTGCCATTTGCCAACTGGGTTGCCAGTGGTGCAGCCATATGCCGGGCCGCGGGAACGTTCACCATTGCGTGTAATTTCCCACATTCCGACACCACCGACCGCAAAGGCGGGCCCTTTTGTCGGCAACATCGCAGAAGGATCCGGCTCAGACTTGCCCGCCATCCTTGGCCTTTCTTCCACGCGAACAAAGAGGGCGATTCTAGTCTTGGAGGAGGGCAAGGGGCGCATGATTGCCCAGGCCCGCACACATATAAAGTGCAGCTCGGCAAGAGCTCGCAGTTTCTGATGCTGGATAAGACGTCCCCAGGACACCCAGCCATTCCATGCTCAAATTACAGGGGCGCCTCTCCCGGAACAGAGGGCGAGTCAGCAGCTGAGACTTTCATTTATGTTTGTGCATGGAGCTCATCCCAGCGCGAGACAGAGGCATGCCAGGAACACTGGTGAGTATAACCACGAAACGTTGAGTCGCTTCATGGATCAGGCTGTGGATGACGCTGTCGCTATGACGGTCAGCTCGACAATGGGCCACTGGCATCGATCTGATCGCCCAGTGGACCGCCACGAGATGACCCAGATGCTGCTAACAGGCGTCCACCACAAGGTGATGGAGGCAGCCGGCACGTGGGATCCAGACGCAATGACGAACCTCCTCCACCCGCGCCTGGAGGAGGCGAGGAACTGGCTCACAGGTAGCCCAGGCGTATCAAGGGCGGCCGCGCCGAGAGAAGATCGGGGCACCATCTCGATTGCGGAGGACGGGCCACAGGTCTTCCACATCGAAGACCCTAGCTCGCCGTCTCACAGCGCCGCCGAGCAGGGCACCAGTGAGGGATGGACATGCTCGAGCGACGAGACGCCGGGCATCGCACCCCACATCGATGACCCCCCAATTAACGTGGGGAGGTGGGTCCTCAGGCCAAGCCTGCTTACCGCCCCAAGGAAGCCAGAGGCGCGGACGCGTGCCTCATGAAAGAGAACTGCGTGGACACGCGCGCTACAAATTTAAATCAAAAAATATCGCTCGGAAGCTTTGGTTGCATTTCCGCACGGCTACCGCCGAATTTCGCCGTCGAGGACACATGTGCGGTCGCGTCACACGTAACGAGGTAATATCACCGATGGGGGCACAGTATGCCGACAGGATGATGCATGCGATATTCGACGCCTATCGCAACTGCTGGATGCAGCGCTGTTCAGCTACAGTGCTGTACTCCGACGACGAAGGTGCTCTGAACAACGATGCTGCCAATCCGTCCTGAAGGCGAAAGGCGCAGAACTTCGCATTCGTGTCCGAGGCCAGCATGCCACCACCTTTGAAGCACGCAGTGGCCCCTCTGAGGAACACCCGTCATGATATGGAAGAGGAATTTAAAACGCCCCAGCTGCCCAATGGTTTTTACACGTATACCGCACAATGGCCTATTTGTCTGTAGTGATTTTACGTGCTACAATGGGGTATCTCCATACCAAGTGTTGTATGGACGACGACCGGCCTGCCTACCAGACCTACCGGTACTAGACCAGCAGGGGGGGGGAAACGTCCTTTCAGAACCGGGAACCGAGGATCAGATAATCAACGTTGAGGCCATTACACAAACCACTGCAGTAGCCAAAGCCAATAGAGCCCTACGCACAATGGTGTCAGTTTCGGGACACCACAAATATCGGGGGCAACGATAAGGGGGGATAGGCATAGGGGGGACGCATCGACCCCCAATCGCCCACTGATCGACGATAGGGGCCCGATGGCCCCAACCTGCTCAAGAAGGTGCGGATTTACTATCGGAGGCCAATCACCGACCTACCGGCGATGTATTCCCGATTCCAGGTCGATGCACCCCCCCTATGCCAGTCCCCCCATATCGTTGTCCCTCAAACTATCAGCCATGGGAATTCGTGGACGACCACCGTCCGACCACTAACACGGGCGACTGGGGTGGATGGAACGGACCATACCCCATCGCTAGTAATTGCCTTGACCGTGGTCAGGCAGTCATTCAGGCCGGCGGTCGGTAGCTCTTGGTGCACTACCCACACTTACGACACGAAGTATAGGTGGTTCGCGAGATCGGCTCGGATACTGCGGCAATGCGAACAGTATGGTTTTCCCTGCGAGCTTGCATGCGGGGAAACGTGCTATGGTTTGTTGGCTACTTGCCGACCAAGCAGGAGGTCTTGCGGATGACTGCAGCGAGTCGGCTCTCGCCCAAAATACACTCAGCCACGCAGATCCCCTCATAAACTACTTTAGGATAGCAAGCGTTGTAACTGTACGTTTGGCGAAAACATCCACAGGCTACCGGCAACACCCCACGCTGATAGCTCTACCCTGGTATCGGCGTAGCGAACGCATACGAGCACCCCCACTGGGGCCTTCAGTAACGGTCCCCATGGGACCAGAAAGCGTGTGAGGGATGGACCAAAGTAAAGGAAGTAACGGGAGGATGGGGAGGGAAAGGAGGAAGGGGGCAGCGGGAAAAGGAGGAGGAAGAGTGAACGCGGGGACCGTCTTTTCAAAACGAAGACCCAACACCAGAGGATGGTTGGGGAAACCTGCAATCAACACGAACTCGCGACGGTCCGCGCGGATTTCTTGGATCCGCGCTGGATCCCCTTCCCTGGCGGCGCCGTTGGCGCCGCCAGGGGGGCCTTCGCATTCGCGCGCAGCGGAACGGCCGCCGCCCATGCCGTGGACGCCCAGGCCTTGACAGCCCCCCTCCTCCCCATCTCCCCCTCCCCCTCCTCCTCCCCGCCTTCCTCTTCCTTAGCTTCCAAGGCCACCGCGTCCCCCTCCACATCCTCCCTTTCCCCCTCCTTCTCCTTGTTTTCCCCCTCCCTCTTCTTTTCCTTGTTCTCCCCCTCCTACTCTGTGTCCCCCGCCTCCTCCTCCTCCTCTTCCTCCTCCTCCTGCCCCTCCTCCTCCTCCTCCTCCTCCTCCTCCAACGCCTGCTTCTCCTCCGCTTCCTCCAACTCCGACATATTCCTCCTCCTCCTCCTCCTCCTCCTCCTCCTCCAAGGCCTCCTTGTAGGAACGGCAAGGCATGGCGAGCGTAGTCTTCATCCTCCCCTGCCTCCTTTAACATCAGCGGGGGCATAATTTTCACGCCGCCCATTGGTCGCCGCCGATTTGCCTCACATGGACTCTCTGGTCCGTTGATGCTCGCCGCCGCCGCCGCCTCCTCCTCCTCGCCCCCCTCCTGTGCTTCCGCGTGGCGACACTGAGGCGGAGCCTGGGTGGGGGTGGGAGCCGCGATGAGAGGCAGGCCGGACGGGCCCCTGCCTCGCCCCCAGGCGTGCGCTGGCGCAGGAGGGGCCGCGCGCCAAGCAGTCCTACTTCTCCGACTCCGACTCCAGCGCCGAGGGCGCAGCGGTCGGAGCCGCCCCGAAGGCCACGGGGCGGGAGAGAACGTCGGCGCGCTTCCACGCTGGAGGGACGCCGTGCCCCGCTTGCTCCCCGGCGAGCCGTGGTCCCTGGGTAGCCCTCCGGCGGCCCGTGTTGTCCACCCCCGGGTCCTCCACAGGCCCGCTCCGCGCCTCGGGTTTGCCCCCCCCCCCCCCCCCTCCCCCCCCCTCGAGGAAGAGCTGCACGGTATGCTCCTGCAGCTGGGATTCTGCGGGGGCCTCCAAGCGGTGTGGTGACCGCACAGTGCGGTGAGTCAGCGGGGATTCGGCGTCACCGTACGGTGTTGGGACTCGTGTTGCTCTCCGAGGATGTCCCAAGCGACTGGGGCTTCCGGAAACCGTGCGGTGACGGACTGTGCGGGTGAGTTCCTTCGGGGCTTCGAGGTCACCGCACGGTCTGCCACCACACGGATTCGGGACCCCACAATGATTCTCTCTGCCTTTTGGAGTTGGGGTAGAGGAGCTCTCTCAAGCAGGAGCTTCCTGCTGCGTGGATTTGCTGTGGGGATTTTCAGGGCGGCGACCTTCGGGCCTTGCAGCGCCAGGGGGGATATCGTGGGAGGGAAACATATCCATGTCCACGGCCTCGCGGGCTGGGCCCCTGGGCCGCGATCCCATGGATACGGGAAGTCGTTCGCCGGATGCTCCGCGCGGAACGTATCCGTGCGACCGCGTATCCACGGGATCGCGCCCTGGAATCCAGACCGCGAGGGTGTGGATATGGATACGCTCGCCGCTCATGAGGACAGGCTCAGAGGGGAACGCACCGACCCCCGATCGCCCATTCCTCGCCGATGGGGGGCTCGACGGCACGCCCCCGCCCTCGAGCGTCCAGCAGTGTTGCGCTCGGGGGCCTTTGCCGGGGGTCTGTCCGCTAGAAGCCCGGCTCGAGGCCCCCCCCCCGCCCCTCAGCGGCGCCGTATAACGGGTACTCACTGACGGGTACCTTTGAAGGTTGCCGAACGTTGCCACTTTGGGGCCTCTTTGCGGCATTGCAGCGCTGCCCACATCGGGAGGGTCAGGTTCGCAGGGTCACTGGCCAAAGCACCCGTTGGTGGAGTCCCCGTTTATGAGGGGCGCGGACCCCCGAGCCGGTCCCTGGCGGTGGCGCTCGGGTCACAGCTGGGGCGCCATGGCGGCCGCTCGGGGCCCTCCCGGCACCCCCCCGGGAGCGCTCTCGGCGAGGGCGCAGCCGACGGCAGGCATCCCGAGGCCGGGGAGCCGCCGGGAAGCGGCGAGCTCGTCCGAGAGCCTCGAGCCTCGAAGTTATTTCCAATGCTCCCCCCCACCCCGGAGCCGGCCCTATCGTGGCCCTGTCGTTGCCCATCATCCTTCACCCCTATCGGGGTCCCCCCTTGCGATCGTCGATCCCCCCTCGAGCGTCGATCCCCTCCTCCCCCTCACTTCCGCGGCAAGGCCCGGCGGCTTCCGTGTGATTTTTACTTCCAGCGAGGGGCAACTCCATCTTTCAGATTCCTCGATCTTGATCGTCGTGCTTCCCCCCTCCCCTGGATGGCCGATCCTCCCCCCTCGATCGCCGTCCCCCCCCCGATCCCAGACCCCCGACGCCATGATTTTCCATAACGTCGACCACCAGAAGTCTCGACCCACTCCCCAGGACCAGCTTTTCAGCCCGAGTCGTGCCTTGACTGCCCGGGGGTCCAGCGAGGGCCCCCCCGGAGGCCGGAAACAGCGAGAACCTGGTTGTCGAGATGTCCTGTCCTGCCTCGAGGGGGCCCGGGATGGCTGCTCCCCCCCTCGACCGCTGCAGGAGGAGCCGGTGCAGGCGGCGAGCGGCCCCGGGCGCCGCAGCGCGGAGCTGGAGGAGGAGGAGAGGCGGCGGCAGACCGAGGGCCTGCGGCGCCGCAACGCGGAGCTGGAGGAGGAGCCGACGGGTCAGTCGGGCCGGACGAAGGAGGAGGGGGAGGAGGAGAGGGAGGAGGAGGAGGAGGGGGAGGAGGAGAAGGAGGAGGAGGAGGAGGAGGAGGAGGAGGAGGGGAGGGGGAGGAGGAGGAGGAGGGGAGGAGGAGGAGGAGGAGGAGGAGGAGGAGGAGGAGGAGGAGAGGAGGAGGAGGAGGAGGGGGAGGAGGGGGAGGGCCTCCCGGACGGGGTCGGGCGGGACGAAAGGGGGGGGATAGGGAAAGGGGGGGGTACGAAATCTGCTGCTCGCAGCTGGTTTCGGCCCCGCCGCCGGGCCCCTTCCTCGATACATTGCCGCCGTTCCCGGCGCCGGGAGGCGCCGGGAACAGCAGCTCCGTGAGATTATTCTCAAACCCCCTTTTGCTATCCCCCCCTCTCGCCCGACCCGCGTCTGGCGACAGCAGAAATGAATCAAGGGGGTATTGGATCAGCGATGGGTCCCGCTTCCACGACGCCGAACGAAAAACTAGAAGGGCCCAGTGGCTGCGCCCCTGTTTTCTCTCTCCCTGTTCGCTCTTTCTCTGTCTGGTTGTATCGATCTCTGCCGCTGCCGTGTATTCTCGAATAGGGCCCTTGGCCTAAGAGCTACGCACCTCGCCGCGCGAGTAAAGAAGATCCAGCGATTATCTTCCAGATCACAGCGGTAGCGGAGCAGGTCTCAGCTGCCAGGCGTTGCGCGCCACCTTCATATCCCAGCCACGACGACGCCGTCGCGACCCACGGGATCGACTCCCAGTGGCGTCCTGCGAGCCGTCATCGGTCTGAGCATTTCCGTGCTCAACGCCAGCGTCAGCGACGCCAGCGCTTACCTGTACGAGTACCCACCAGACGTCAGCGACGTCCATTTCAGCATCTACAAGTTTAACTTCGCCAGCGTCAGCGACGCCATCACTTACTTGGACGAGTATTCACCAGATGTCAGCGGCGTCCACTTTAGCACGTGCAAGTCTAACTCCGCCAACGTCATCGACACCAGATTTTACTTGTACGAGGAGCCAGACGCCAGCGACGTCCACTTCAGCATCTACAAGTTCAACCCCGCCAGCTTTTGCGACGCCTGCACTTGCCTGGACGAGGAGCCAGACGTCAGCGACGCCCATCTCAGTCTCGATAATATTAACTCCACCAGCGTCGGCGACGATGAGGAGCCAGGCGTCATCGACGTCAACTTTAGCATCTACAAGTTCAACGCCAGCGGCCGCGACGCCATCAATCACCCGTACGTGCAGTCTTCTTACGTCAGCGACGTCACTTTCAGCATCTTCAATTCCCACTTCGCCAGCATCAGCGACGCTAGCATCCTAGAGAACGTCAGCGACGTCATGTTCGATTTCAGCATTTACACTCTCGGATTCAACATTACCCCAGGTACAGAATGGCGGACAACCAAAAATTTCAGCCACAACCAGGTCATCCCGACCTGGAATGGCGACCCAGCCAAATGGCGCGACTTTAAGCAGGAGCTGAATCTCTGGAAGCTCAGCGTGATCCTGGAGGCGACGCAGAGCCTAGCGTCTAAGGTGGTTCTGCTAATGACGGGCACAGCCAGATCGGCGGCGCTCAACATGCCCGAGGAAGCGTCGCACCCAGACCCCGACTACGCGGTCGAGGAAGTTGCCCGTGGCCGAGCGCAAGCGGTCGCGCATGCTCCAGGGCAACCCACCTCGTCCAGCGGAAGCCCGCGCAGAAGGGCGAGACGCTCCTCTAGTTAATCGAGTCCACGCAGGATCACCGCCGCCGCGGAGGAAGCATGACAGACTGGCTCGTCCGTTTCGAGGCCAGTCTCCAGCCGGCGCGCGAGACTGAGGTGGGCCTCGACGCGGGGGGCGACGGGCTTGCGGCTGAACGCCGCGAGGGCTTCGCGTGAAATTTGCCGGACGAGCCTTGCTCGTGCCAGCGCGACCGCGAGCCGTTGGCGCGCATGTTCCCGGACCTGCGTGCGTCCGAGCGCCGCGCCCGCGCGCCGACGAGGTCCTGGGCGCCATCTTCTTCCGGGGCCAGCCGCGGCTGGCAGCGGCCGCCACCAGGCCGAACCCGCTCCACCATGGTCGTGGACGAGCCAGAGGGCGACGAAGATGAGGAGGGCGACGACGAGACCAATGCCGAGGCCGACGCGCGGGGCATCGCCCGCCAGGAGTTCGAGGCATTCAGCGCAGACTTCGAGTCGTCCAACGTTGACATCACCGAGCTGTTCGTCGGCGAACACTCCGCGATGGCGGAGGCAGCCGCGGCGGACCTCGTCGCGATTCCCGAGGCCACGGCGACCGTTAGGTCCGCGCGTGACGCCGTCGAGGGACGCGGGAAGTCTGCGCCGAGGAGGCGTCCTACTTATCCGAAGAACCTACAGAGCCGCGTCGACCAGCGCCAGAAGTTTTCGCTGCGCTGCGACTGCGGCGAACGGGGCCACTGGACCGGCGACAAGGAGCGCCCCGCACCGCGAGCCCGCAAGTTCGCGCCGTCCAAGGGCAGGGCCAAGGGTGGAGGCCGAGGAGAAAGATCCCATGGCCACGCGAGCATCACCGAGAAGGTCGGGTTTGGGGGCGAAGAGGTGATTCTACTTCCAGAAGGACCAGTTTCTCCACCACCGGAGACCCTATAGTCTCCGAGCGCGTGGCACCGGCCCTGCCGACGGTCAACGACGCCCGCGCCGGCGAGAAGCCCAATGACGACGGCATCGGGGTCATGGACGCCGCCAGGCTGAAGTGGTATCACCAGTAAAGGCCAAGCTTTGAAGGATTGGCATCGGTGGCCAGATCCCCGGGGAGCCCGAGAACGAAGTCTACCGTTTCGGAAACGGCCGCGCGCCCCCGAGCAAGCAGCGCTTCACCGCTCCAAATGCGCTCTGCGGACGCGCTGGCCGCGTCATGTTCGGCGTCGCGGACAGCCCCGCGCTCGGGCCACTCATCGGCCGCGACTTTATCCAGCCCCCCCAAGATCGACATCTCCCCGTGGAAGGGCCAAATTCGCATCGGCTCACACGCGCAGAAGCTTCATGACCAGCAGTGCTGGACATCCAGCCGCCCAGCTTCAACCTGAGGTCTGGTCTAGCATCGAGGAGACGGGCAACACCTTCGGTCCGAAAAACACTTGGACCACGAACGACACCAACAATACCATGCCGCTGCCCGCGGGCAACACTGCTATTACGACCAGGCCAGACGCCCTGTCGGAGAGGATCGCGAAGCTCATCCTTCGAATGAAACCGACGTGTCCAAGCGCCTGCAGCCGAGACGCCACGGGGGCCCCGCCTCATGGCAGCCATGGCGCCCACATTAGCATGCTGTTCCACGGCTACCCGATTTCCGATGACCCCTACTACTGCACCTACAACTTGTGGGGTTGAGACCGCACACGATTGCCTCGCCCGTGGAATCGCTCCACCCGAGGATTGCCGACATTTCGGGTTATGCCCAGAATCTGCGATCGGTGCCTCGGCCACGCGGGCGAAACCGCTACTCGCCGAAGGCATGTGCACCGCCCTCACCGACAAGTACGGTATCATCCCGCGTGCCGTCTGCAAGGCATTCAGGGCCGACCTGGCTAAGTCCGCTGCTAGGTCAGCTACGATTTCAGGGCCCCATGGCGCTGTGCTCTACGAGTGGCGTTGTACTTCCGACAGCAAGCTGAGCGACGCATGGATTGCAATTGGAGGAGCTGCCGTTCGGTGCGGACTGCCCGCCTACGACCCGTCGAGCCCGACCGTCGTCGGCAAACTCGAGCAGAAGATTAGGGGCAAGCTCCAGGAAAGCCACAACGTACGATTGTACGTAGTTTTTTCTGTGCACGCCTTGGACATCGCCACAGAGGCCCATCGTCAAGATTGACCCCAAGAATGGCCCACAGCTCTCGAAGGACAGATGACCGACCTTTTCTTCAAGGCCACGCGTCGCCTACGGAAGGAGTTCGGCGCCCAGCTCGCCGCCTCGCTCGAGTGGCCCCGCTCTTGCGACGGCTGGAATCAAGACAAGAAGCCGATCATCAACGAGTTGCGTCGACAACTACCGAGAGTGCTCCATTTTGACGGATGCGCCTACAACCTGGGGACCAAGGAGGGGGGTCCGATCAAGAAGCCCTGGAGAATTATCACCAACCGCTTCAGCATGGGCGACTCGCGCACACAGTTCTGCGACCAGAGCCGCCGCCACGCAGGGGCAAGTGGCCGCGACGCGAAGAACAGCGATAACTACACCGACGAGCTCGTCGAGGTCCTAGCCAGTCAGCTGCGCAAGCCGAACAGGCCGGCCCCACGCGAGGCAAACCCAGCGTTGCCTACGCGGGGAAGGGCGGCAAGGAGGGCGGCGCCTGCGCCGGCTGCCGCTGCCGAACCATCACTAACGGCAGCGGAGGAGCGGGCCCTCAAGTCCGCCATCATGCAGCTCCGCGTCAACGTTGGGCACCCGTCCAACGAGTCGCTGGCACGGGCTATCCGCATCACTGACGGATCACAGCGCTCTGTCGAGATGGCTCCCAACTTGCACTGCGATGCGTGCGCCGCGCATCAGCGACCTCCACCGCATCTACCTGGGAGTATTCGAGCCGGTCGGGATTTCAACGACTCAGTTGGTGTAGATTTATGTGCACTCGCCGATGACGCCAGAAACCAATTGATTTTCCCGAAAATCTACTACCTCGCCTCCGGCTTTACTTGGTGCGGAACGGTTTCTGCAAGACATCCGAGCACGGTGTCCTCGCGGCTCCTGCAAGTATGGATTGCTCCGTTTGGGGCCCCACAACGCGTTATCCTTGATGGGGGGCGCGAGGTCGAGAGGAAGTGCTCTGAGGAACTCGAAGACACGGGTGGCCACTCATTGACCATTTCGGTTGCGACACGGCAGCAGAGCGCTAAGATCGAGCGTCGCGGAAGCCCATGGAAGACCCACGCTCGCAGGCTTATCGGCCAGCTCAGCGTCGGCTTCGACCAGCCCGCGGAGACCCACAATATCCAGTGGCTGCTCAGTCAACGCC